AAACATTGGAAGCTGCTGCGGAAGCACTCGCTCGCGCGCCAAGCGATTTACAATTCGTCGTCGATCGTCTGCGACTACCTCGACGGCATCGAAGTCGAGGCCGAGGGCAAGGCGGGCGGTGCCCTTCTCCTCTGCCGCGCGCGTCGCCTCAGCACGCTCCAGTGGTTCTTCATGAGTCATCTCACGTGCTTTGGGCTGCCAGAGAAGGAGCTCCGGCAGAAGAAGCAAACAATCATCGCGGTCAAGAGCAAGGCGACGACACGGTCCTTGACCAGCGACAAGGCGCCGCCGGCACGGGACCCGTCGGTCGGCAACGACGACCTCCGTGAGACTTCGTACATGGTCGTCCAGGACGGCGACGCCAACATCCACCTCATCGACGGTGTCCTCAGCGACGTGACGAGCCTTGTGTACAACATCAAGATCCTCAAAAACACCTCGGTCACCATCGAGTGACAACTTGCATATACGTAATAGCTTGTGCGTTTCTTGGGCTACAGCAGCGACTGCTGGATCGCGAGCTGGAGCGCGTCGTCGTCGTCGTCGTCAGCAGCCAAGTGTGCCGTCGACTCGGAGAGCGCACGTCGCAGTGCTTCCTCGTACTAGTCAGTTATGAGCAGCTACTCCTTCTTCTCGATTCGCAACGTACTGGGTCCAGTGACGCTGCGGGCTCGAGCGATGCTTGCAGTGCCACCGCAAGGAGGGCTTCGTCGTCATCTTGGTCGCTCTTGATGGCCTAAGCAGGATGAGCCGTGGAAGTCGACATCACCACCGACAGTAGGCGCGTCTTGGAGAGACGCTTGGAGAGCTTGCTGCAGGAGGTCCTGCTCCGACTCGGCTTGCACGCTGCTCAACAGTGACGCCTGTGCACAAACCGTGAGACAACGACGCATTTTTCCAAGTACCTGGAGGGCATCACGCTCGCTCTCGGCTTGGACCGTAGCGACGTCACTCGCCTCGACGGACGACGCGACGTGGGCTTCGTACGCGGCCAATGACGCTGCGAACGCGTCTTCGAGCGAGCTCTGGCCGTGAAACTCGAGGCGCGAGCGCTACACGTCAGTTTCTAAGTTGACAAATACCAAAAGGTAATCAACCTCGAGCGCGTCGTGCTCCTCTGCGAGGTGGCGCTGCATGTCAGCGAGACGCCGTCGCTCGTACGTCCCCGGCGGGTCTCTACGCTCGCAGGAGCAAAGAGACGACGCCGACATATTTACCGCAGAAGGTGCGTGGCGTGCGTACCCCGGTGCACGACCGAGTCGTAGTGCCCGCCGCCGTAAAAGCTCACGCTACACCAGCGATAGGAATAGGGCAACAGAGCGTAGGGGGTACCGCATCGGCGGACGCGGGTTGGTCGACGCTTCGTGGAACGTCCGCAGCACTTTGGCGCCGACGCGCGGGTCATACACAAACACGTAGAGCGGCCGGTCGTAGAGCTCGCAGAGCGCTTGGAGCTCCGGGTCGTCGCCCCAGACCCCCAGCGTCCGCTTGTGCGCTACGTAGCGCAGAAACGCCGGCATGTCGCCAAGGACAAACGGCTCAAAGTAGGCTTGCGCGGCCTCCATGTAGTCCAGGCAGCTCGCGCGCACGACGGCGTGAAACTGGTCGTCGCCATATATCTAGATACATGCATAGGAAGCAGCGTCGAGAGAGCCGTACCTGGTGGCTAATGGCGCGGAAGAGGCAGTTGCCGTCGCCAGGCACCGGCACGAGGGCAAGCTCGTGCTGGGCTAGCGCTGCGCAGTACGTGTCAAAGGACGATCCGGTGGTGACGGCGCGGCGCGTGTGCGGGACCGGATGCTCCAAGACAGGCGCGGCCGTGTGGCAGCCCTGCGGCGCGAGCCAGGACGGCTGGAACGGCACCCATCGCTCTAGAACAGTAGGCTGAAGCCAGTGCAGTGCAAGCAGCGTGGCACCTTGGTTGGCCACGCGCACAAAGACCTCGTCGGTGCGGACGCGCAGCACGTTCGCACTCTTCCACTCGGTGTGCAAGCAGAGGTCGACGGTCTGCGCCGTCGTGAACGGCAGTGCATCGTTGCTGGCCTAGTGAGAGCAAGATCCAGCAGCGACGCAGAGGTCAACGCACCTTGGTCGAGGACGGCGCAAGGCAGCGCGAGTGCTTGGGATACCACGCGTCCCACGCCGGGTTCATGTTGTGGAAGCGCACACGCACGGATGATGACGTCGCCTACGCTGCATAAGGCGCCATGCCTCGACGTTGTCATTGTACCTCGAGGAGCATGGCGGCGCACCAGGTGCCAAAGACGTTCTGGACGTCGATGCTATCGTGGGCGTGGAGCTGGCGGCGCCAGTCGGCCATGCCCTCGACGGGCTCACCCATGTCGACGTCGCAGGGTCCATCGCGGTCGTCGTCGTCGGCCACGTACAGCACCATCTTGGCTTGGCTTGGGGACTTGAAATGGAGCCCGGTAAAGTACGCTTCCCGTTGGGTCATAATCATCACGTCAAGTACGAGCCGCACTTAAGAGAATCCAAAAACTCTAAAAAACTTGCCGGGGGATCGCGACGCTGAAACGCCTGCGCCTCCGAGGAAGCTTCATGACTTCCCTGTTCATCGGCGAGGAGCCTCTGCGAAGATCCTACGGGATATATCCCTACAGCCCCCCTGAAGATCCTACGTGATGTCCCTAGGGCCTATTTTCGGCCAACGTCCAGGCCAAGAGGTACCTCCTTCATACTCTCTCTACTCACTCAGGCTGATGACGTGGCTGCGCGAGAGCGCAGGAAGGACTCGTCATGCAAAGTGATGACGCGTCATGCTAGCTCGTCAGCACCCCGCCATCTCCCCCTGCCCCTTCAACTCGGAAGGGTTGCGCTTCCAAGATCGGCGTTTAAAATCCGGCGTTTTCATTGGGCAGCGGCCAACGTCGACGGTTTCCACCAATCGCATCATGATCAGTGTGTTTCCGCCAATCGTAGGCCGCGCGGATGACTTTATCGACCAATCGCCAACGTCTCTATTTTTGAGCTTGCGATCTTTCAGTCTCGAATTGGCCTCATGGCGGCGAAGCGACCGACGCTGCACCTGCGCTACTCTGAGGAGGCGACGAAGGTCCGCTTCGACCGGACGATCGCCAAGATGCAGGCTGCGCTGGACCAGGACCCGGCCACGCACAGCAACGCAGCGCTGCTGCACAAGGCCTTGCGCTACCGGCGTAAGTCGCACGTCGGCGCGGCCACGACCAACGAGCTGTACGACCGCTGGGGCGTCAAGTGGCACAAGGTCGAGAAGGACGAGGCCAAAGCATCATAGCGTATTTAAGCAGTCAACACACCATCGCATCTACTACTGGTGCTTGCCGTTGGCCGTCGTCGATTGTCGGAGCGCGCTTTACATGGGCGCGTCTTCCGAGATCTCAGAGACCTCGACCGCATCAATCTACATGCACATTTGAGCGCTGCGCGAGCATGCAGAAGGACGTACATAAGGCTGCAAGTCTGCGCCTTCGATCAAGATGAACTTTTGGTCGGCGCCGACAACCGCAATCGTAACGTTGGACGCCGAGAGTTCCTATACATGGCCTCCATGCGCAACAGGCTTCGCAGATAGTTGGGTCGTACCTGGCTGCCTTCGAGGCAACCGCGGATGCCCTGCAGCGCGTGCTTGATCAAGTCGTCCTTGGAGCCTATCAATGGTTGATACATGTCACGACCAAGATGGCGGAGTCGTACTGTTCGGGAACGTCTCAAAGTGCTTCTCCAAGTATGTCCGCGCCGACTGCGAGCGCGCGCCGATCGCGATCGCGTTGTACTCGTAGTAGTTGCCCGACGGGCACGTCTGGAAGAGGTGCGGGCCGTTTTTCTACAGGGCAGAGTGCATGAGCGTACGCTTCGGGCCGTCGAGCGTACGTCAACACCGGCGACGAGGAGGCCCACGCCGTACGGGCGGCGCACGTACGACTGTGTGCATTCTTGCTTCTTGTCGGCGACGTCGGCCACGAGGCGCGCCACGGGCAGCGCGCTGCCGTAGACGAACTTGTGGTTGAGGCACTCGGTGCGCATGAAGCGCGCAAGCGAGCGCGCGTCGGCGGTCAAGCCGGCGATGGCCATGCCCATGTGCGAGTCGATCTCAAAGAGCTTCTTCTGCGGGTCCGCGAGCTGCTCGGCGTTGACGCGCTTGATGCCGGCGAGGACGACGTGGGTGGCAGAGCGCAGGCCGAGGCAGGCCGAACCCTGCTTGACGGCCTCCATGGCGTAGTCGATCTGGTGGAGGTGGCCTTGGGGGCTCCACACCGTCACGTCCGTGTCATACTGGTTCCGGAACATCGCTTCTCGTCTTCTGACCGCAAATCGAATTGCGGGGCGATCTTCAGACCCCGACATTCGATACAAATAAAATTATATGTGAGAGGTTTTGCAGTTTATTCTCTCAGTATACAAAGCACAAGTAAAACGGCAATAAAACACATAGAATCCGGATGAAATACATTATCCGGACAAAAAGATCGCAATTCACACCCAGTGCTCCCGAATCCACGGCGCAGGCGCGGAATGCGGCTTGGGCTCCAACGGAAAGCACACGAGCCGCGCTGCACCGGGGCACGTCGTCTGGCACGCCTGCATGTACTCGACAATGTGCCCCGGGTACAAAAGCTAGATCCAATACATCAGCACCAATGGCGCGCTAAGATCTACATTTCAGTACCTGCAGTTCGTCGTAGTGGCGCTCGTACAAGACCATTTCGAGCCAATGGTCAAACTTGTAGATGCACTGGTGGACCGCAGCTGCGTGGGATGCGAGGAGCGTAAACACGTGCGCGTGCGAGCCAGCAGTCCAGATCATGACGCTGCTGTTGATGCCCCCGCGCCGCCGCTCGTTGCGCATGTCGTCCGTGCCAAGCACACCGAAGAGCCCTGCATACTGCACCACCCTGGATATGCGCTACAGACGAAATAGCGTACCGAGCAGAGGGGCGTAAGGTCGCCGACGAGGACCGTGTCGAGGTCAATGTATACAACGCGGCCTACTCGGTCGCCCTGGTGAGCGCGCGCCAATGGCTTTCGTACCGGTGGCGGGAAAGTCGGGGGCAAAAAGCTGCGCTTTATTCCACCAGCCGACAAAGCCCGACTGGAGCGGGTGTACGAGGATCTCTACGATTACGATGAAGCAACTAAACACACTGCGCATTCAAGGACGTACGTGGAAGCAAGCCATTGGCGTCGTCCGTGAGGCAGTAGAAGTGAAATGGCGCTGCCAAATGACGCTGGATACCCAAGTAGAGCTTGTTGACATAGTCGGGTCCGTATTTGGTGCCCCACTTGACGCAGGCGATCGAGATGGTCGAGGGCGGCGATGACGGCCAGTACACGGGCTCGGTCGGTGGCCGCTCGATGCTTTCGCCCACAAGAGCTTGGACGCGCGCCCAGCAGAGCTCAATGGCCATTTTTTGTTGGCCTAGCGCGCGGTAGATCGTGTTGAGATTGTAGTAGCCGTGGGCGTTGGTCGGATCCTGCTGAATCGCAGTCCGAGCGTGCAGCAGGGCGGCGTCGCAGTCGCCCAGCGCGTAGAGCTGCGCGGCGAGGTTGACGTGGGCGTCGGGAAAGGTCGGCTGATGCGCAATCGCGAGGCGAAAGTGGTCCACCGCGCTTTGCGGCGCCTCGTCGTCGTTGGCCTGGCGCCGCGTGAAGACGAGCGCATTCCCAAGGTTGTAGTGCGCGGCCGCGTACGTCGGGTCCAGGCGCACCGCCGCTTCAAAGTGGGCGACGGCCTTGGCGTACTTGCCGCTGGCGCTCAGGAGCGCGCCGAGCCGATTGTGCCAGCGCGCGTCTGCTGTCGCGTCGTCGTCATGGCCTTGGTTCATGCTCAAGCTACTGCGAGATTCGATGCAATCCAGAAGGGGTGGTGAGAGCACCCCTTTTTCGTACCGACCACCCTCATCTAGAATCACGCAATTTGATCATACCAATACCGGCACGACGTCGCCGCCATGGACCGCTCGTAGCACCGCCCCCATACGTGCAATCAAATAGAAAGAGGACCAGCAAGTCCACTGGTCGTGCTGTCGATGTGCATGCGGCGCCTCTGCTGGGCCACGTTCAGGTTGCGTGCGCCAAGCCAAGCCCATGAGAAAGGCCATCCAAAATTAGCCCAACCGGATGATCTTTGGCATCTTGGCAGCAGGAGCAATATGGGCTGCAACCTCTCGGTCCAGTGCCCCGGCAGCGACGTGCGCGGCAAGTCCGTCGACGACCTCGCGCCGCTCAAGGCCAAGAAGGCGCAGGTCATGGCCTGCACGCGCTTCGCGGCCGCGTACACGCTCGGGCCCAAGATCGGTGAAGGCGCCTTCTCGGTCGTGCGCCGGGGCACGCACGTCGCGACGGGTGCCACCGTTGCTGTCAAGTGCTTGGACCTCAAGCAAGTCTCGGCCATGGACCTCGTGAGCATCCAGCGCGAGGTCTCGATCCTCAAGCAGCTCAACCACCCGCACGTGATCCGGTGCCACGCCTTCTTCCTCGAAGAGAACTGCGGCTACATCGTCACCGACCTCATGGAAGGCGGCGACCTCTTTGACCGCATCGTCGACAAGGTACACTATACATTGACTACTCGATTGACTAACTCAACACTCAGACGGTGTACACGGAGCTTGAGGCCAAGAACGTTGTCCGCGCGCTCCTCGAAGCGGTCGCGTATTGTCACGACATGCACATTGTCCACCGTGACCTCAAGGTGATCCATTCTCAACGTTGAATTTGAGTTTGAGCACGGCGTAGCCGGAAAACATCCTCTTGAGCTCCCGCGGCGACGACGCCGTCATCAAGATTGCCGACTTTGGCCTGGCCAAGGACGACGCGTACCTCACGACCATGTGCGGGTCACCGGCCTACGTCGCGCCCGAAGTGCTCGTCTCGACCAAGGCGCCGTACGACAAGGCGGTCGACATTTGGTCCATCGGCGTCATCACGTACGCGCTGCTTTGCGGCTTTTTGCCGTTTTTCGACAAGAATCCCGCAAAGATGTTTCGCATGATCAAGGCCGGCGCCTACGCGTTCCCGTCGCCGCACTGGGACCTCATCTCTCCGAGTGCCAAGGCCTTTGTCGCCCGCATGCTCGTGGTGGTACCCTCGGAGCGGTACTATCTCGCTCTCTTCCTGACCGACTTGCGAATGCTAAGCGTGTAGGGCGTCAGCGCACACGCTGCTGCAAGACGCGTGGTTCACGACGCATGCACCGCAGGTGTACGTGCCGCTGACAACCGCCATGACGGAGCTGCGGAAACTCAACTCGCGCCGGTCGTTGCGCTCGGCGATCTTGACGGTCCACACCGCCATGAAGCTCAAGCAAGCCATCTCGCTTCCGATGCAGTCGTAGTCGGAATACATTTGCGTGCGCCTAGACAATCGAAGCTTCGGTTTTGTTCGGATTTGCGTCCTCGACTCGTGTAGCAACTATGTGGAGGAAGGAGCTCAGTGTACGTTTGGCCATGCTTCTCTCTCTCGCGACCGTTCTGGCCTTGACGTGGCCAACGCAACACGTTCTCACGTCGTCGCCGGGCTTGTGCGGCAACGTGTGCCCGGTGCAGGCGTCGGGGACGGCCCAAAGCTGCGTCTCGTACCCCTCGATCCTAACCGATTTCCCGTGTGAGCCGTCGTCGCTCGGGCAGTGCGTCGCGAGACCGGATGGCAGCGGCGCGGTCAAGTGCCTCAGCAACTCGTGGGCCCAGAACGGCTCGTACGCCATCGGGCTCCGTGGCACCACCGGCTCGTTCGGTCGCGCCGAGCCGGTCCGGTTTGTCCAGGACTATCGCGCCGACAGCATCTCTGAGCTGTACGTGCCTCTGTCTGTCCGCAAAATGTTTATTTGTCGGTTGGGGTTAGGGTTTTGACCAACTACAACAGCGAAAAATACCCCTTGACGCTCCTCGACGGCGCCTTCAACCGCTCTTCACTGACGTCTTTGTACGAGTCGCCGGTTGTCCTCGCCGAGGATCGATGCCGTGCCTAGGCGCATTGAGAACGTCGACTTGGCGCTTCAGAAGAACGTCTTTCCGCCGCACTTGCGCTCGCTCGTGCTGCGCAAGACAGGTCTCCGCCGCATCCCCAAGGAGGTCTTTACGCTCACTCAGCTCGAAACACTGTACATTACTATGGTTGCGTTCCATGGGCTAAGCAATGTACTAGGGAAATCTCGGGCCAGTTTCTCGACACGTCGTGGCTGAGCAAGGAAGAAGCGGCGTTCGTCCGCAACGTCAACTGCACGTTTGGCTAGCTGTGTTTGCATGATGTAACCATTTGAACTTGTCTATTCGCTCTCGTCGCGGTGCCACCAATATACCAACGACATACACTTAATTCCTAGTAAAATACGGACGTAGAGGCATCCGCCGCATCGCACGCCGCTCAACAACGTCAAGCCAAGTGCATTGCACACGTCTGAACAAGGCAAAGCACTACAATGTAGAACGCGGAAGCTAATGACCTACCACAATTTTAGCTTGCATATTAGAAACAACATAAGTGGCACATGAATGCTCTACGGGGCGATCGAAAAAGCTTCGAGAATCCGCATCGTCTGGTCTCTTCGACCGAACAAAAGCTGGTGCTCGACAACTGCAACCTCAATTGTGATCCATCATGCGCACCAGCATTGCCTTGTTCGCGTCAATGCTTGCGACAGCGCTCGCTTGTCCGGATGGCCATGCTCTAACGTCCAGCGCCGAGCTCTGCGGTGACATTTGCCCGCTCCAAGACGGCGTTAAGGCCCAGAGCTGCGTCTATTACCCGAGCAAGTATGACGACTTTACGTGCCAACCGTCGTCGCTGGGCACGTGCGTCGAGGCGCCCGAGGCCGGGTGCACGCTCCAGTGCCTCACCAACACGTGGGCCCGCAACGGCTCGTACGTCATCGGGATCCGCGGCGTGTCGGGCTCGTTTGGTCGCGCAGAGCCGGTCCGTATCGTCGAGGACTACCGCGCCGACAACATCACCGAGCTGTAGCCACCCTTCAACCGGCAGAGACTATTGAATCTTTGGTTAGGGAGCTCAAAAACTACAACGACGAAAAACACCGGCTCACGCTCCTCGACGGCGCCTTGACCAAGTCGTCGCTAACGTCCTTGTACGTCTTCTCTCTCAAAGCAGTCTCAAGAATCCATTTATCCTGGTACGTGGATCGAGAACGTCAAGCTGTCGATCCAGGAACATGTGTTTCCGCCATTCGTTGAAACGCTTGTGCTGTGCAAGGCCGGCGTCCGCTGGATTCCTAAAGAGGACTTTGGCCTCCAGGCGCTCAAGACTCTGTACTTTAGTACTAGTACTTACGTTCGCTTACCCTCAAGATTGCACGATGCGTAGGGAGATTTCGGGACAATATCTCGACACGATCGACCTCTCGGACGACGAAAGGGCTTTCTTGGCCAACGTCAACTGCACCTTCTCGCGACAAGAACCACACCACATATATTTTTGCTATTCTTGAGCGTAGTAAGTGAATATCCCCGAAATCATGTCGAAATATCAACCCAGAATCAGTGGACTATCACCAAATTCACCACAGAACAAAAGTCTGCAACTTGCTTTTTCTGAAACCCACTTGCTCGGACTACTTTCGACAAGCTGTCCTTCTCGCCCTCGTCCGATCGAGCAGGTTTGGCGCCACCTGCGACTGGCGCCACGTCCAGCGTGTCACGAGCAATGAGCCAATCACCGGTCACTTGCAGACATCCACGATACACCATCACCGATTCGTCATAAATAGTGTGTGAAAATACTGATGTGCTACGCTAAATGAGTCAATCACCGGCCACTTGCAGGTATCCACAATACACCATTTACAACGCACCGTCAATAGTGTGGGAACGAGTGGATTCGTTTTCGTGGTGCTTCGTTCATTCTTGAAGAGATGGCGAAAGCTGTGGTCCCGCTTCTCGCCGTCGTCGCGGCCGCCGTCGCCATGATCGTCCTGCGCCAGCGCCAGAAGGCCGAGCGCCCGTACCCGATGAAGCGCACGCCCATCAAGCGCCTGCCGCTCGACCAGCTGCCGCGCCTCAAGAACGACCTGCTCGTGCGCGCGTACCTCGGCCAGAAGACCGAGCGCGTGCCCGTGTGGTGCATGCGCCAGGCCGGCCGCCACTTGCCCGAGTTCCGCGCGCTGCGCAGCGCCGGCTACGACTTCTTCACGGTACTTGGCTGCATTAGTAAGCTCTCACGGACCATTTGCACTAGATGTGCCAAGTGCCGGAGCTCGCGGTCGAGGTTTCGCTCCAGCCGCTGCGCCGCTACAACACGGACGCCGTCATCATCTTTTGCGACATCCTCGTCGTACCGCAGGCCATGGGCATGGAGGTCGTAATGAAGTCGGGCGTTGGCCCCGTGCTGCCGCAGCCGCTGCGCACGCCGGAGGATCTCAAGCGCCTCGTGATCAAGCCCGACATTGAAGCGACGCTCGGCTACCTCATGGACGCCATCAACCTCGCGCGCCAGGAAATCAAGGGCCAGGTCCCGCTCATCGGCTTCTCGGGCGCGCCCTTCACGCTCTTCACCTACATGGTCGAAGGCGGCGGCTCGCGCACCAAGGACAAGGTCAAGACGTTCCTGTACAAGGTATTACACTACACATTCTCTCTCAAACGTGTCGTCTCATGCGCTCCTAGTACCCGGAAGCCGCCCACGAAGCGCTCGCGGCCATCACCGACGTGTGCGTGCGCTACCTCATCGCGCAGTACGAGGCCGGCGCGCAGGCGCTGCAGATCTTTGAGAGCGTCGGCGCCGAGTTCTTGACGCAGGAGCACTACTACGAGTTTGCTTTTCCCTACCTGGCCGAGGTTGCTCCGTATTCATCGTTCTCTCTAACTCAGATGACTAGATTGCCGAGCGCGTGCGTGCGGCTGTGCCCGCGACCGTGCCGCTCGTCGGCTTCTCCAAGGGCACGCAGTACGCGTATGAGAAGCTCTCGCACACCAAGTACGACTGCCTCAGCCTCGACTGGCAGAGCGACCCCGCGACCGTCCGGTACTCGAAACCACTGTCAAATCTTAGTGGCTAAGACGCGACCTGCGTAGCGCTCAAGTCGACGGCCGCGTGTCGCTTCAGGGCAACCTCGACTCGTCGGCGATTTACGCGGCCCCCGAGGTCATTCGCGCCGAGGCATGAATTGATAATTTGATACTTGAGGAATTCACAACAACTATTGTAGGTGGGGAAGATGCTGACCAAGTTTGGCACGCAAGGCTATGTGGCCAACCTCGGCCACGGCTGCGCACCCGACTTTAGCCCTGAGCACGTCGACACGTTCATCAAGTCGGTGCAGCAGCTCTCGCTCGACATGAACTCGGCCTAAGCTTTGGCCATCGCGTCAGCCACTACCTAGGACAAATGCACTCCATTTTACGCTTCAGACGATCGCAAAGCATTACCGAAAACATGGTGCTAATGCTCTCCATGCGCTGGCTCTGGTCCCGCTCCATGACGAAGAGCTTCCCGCGCACCTGCTCGAGCTGCGTCGTGTTGCTGTGAACGCGCTGCTCACTTGCCTCGGTGCGTCGCGTCACAAGACCCACTTCGCTCTGCATGTAGTGTAACGATGGATCGTATTGGGGTTGGAGGGTACCTGGAGGTGCTGGAGACCCTCATCGAGGGTTTGCGCGAGGCGTGTGTGGTGGCCCGAGAGGGTTGTGACTGCCTGCTCCATCATGGCGAGGTCGTCGAGCCGCTGCTGCGCGTGGATCTTGGTTTCGCGGGCGTGCGTGGCGGCCGACGCCTCAAAACCCGCGAGCTGCGCCTGAAGACTCTCGACTTGCTTTTGCCACAGGATGCGCAAGTCCGAGGCCTCGTCGGCCATGTCTACCACGTCAATCTCAATCTCAATCTCAATCGACTAGAAAAAGTATACGTTTGGCTCGTGTCGCGTGGTCGTGCCGAAGCTCGTGCACGCGGTCTTTGGTCTCCATGACGTCGCGCTGAAGCGCTTGCATCCACTCAATGTTGTGGCTGTGGCTCGCTTTGAGAATCTCATGGTCCTTGGCCCAGTCCCTAGTCCACAGTTGCAAATCTACGATCTTATAGCAATTTGCGCACCGCTCTTTCAAGCTCCAGACGTCCCACGCGCGCTTGGCCTGCTCCAGCTCGCGCTGGGCACCAAGAGTGAGCTCCTTTTGCTTGTCGACTTGATTTTCGAGCGTCTCGAGCCGTTTGCTGGTGTTCTTGCGCACACCGTCCACCTACGTGCTCGCTCGATGAGCAGACTTGGGATGCTGACTTGCCTCGGCCATGAGCACGTCCGAGAGCGTCTCAAACGCCTGCTTGAGCGCCTGCAGCTGCGAGCTCAAGTACGCAAACGTCGCTTGCGACTCCATCTCGAGCTGCAGCTGCTCGGCCGCGTCCTTTTGCAGACCCTTGATCTAGTGTAGCCTAAGAAATGAAGCGGAGAATGGCGGTCGACGCACCGCTTGACGAATCTGGTTGAGGTCCGAGAGCGGCTTCTTGGCCTTGGCCGCGTGCGCCGCCGTCTCCCGCAGCACCGACGCCATGCGATTCGTCGTCGGACGTTTCGCGATCCGCGACCTTGCGAAACGGCGTCGCAGTTGACGATGCGCTGCTACAATGACCGACAATGGCGCCGTGTACCTTGAGGCGTGCCTCCACAACCTCAACTGGGACGCCATCTATGGCGCTAGCTTTGAGTTTGGTGGCGCGACGCGATTGTGGGGACGCCAGAAGGCTGTGTGTGGTACAGACTCTACCGGAGCGTGTACCAGTCTCTCGAAAACGAAGCAGCGTACTGGACACCAGATTGCGCGCTTCCAGCTGCAGTGGAGCAACGACTGCAAGATTGGGTAGCACGAGTTCTTTTCGGTGGTCAACATGCTTGGGTAAGACCTTACGATTCAGTCGCTATGCTGGCTCGACTTTGATCGACAGATTGAGGCGCCTAACTCCATCGCCCGTCAAGCGCGGTGTCGGGCTCAGGTCAGCAGCAATGGTGCAGCCTACTTGGAGGCGATTTTGAGAAATGTCAGCTGGCCCACTTTTGAGTCGTGCCGGGCACGTCGTTTGAGATTGGGGTTGCCAAAGAATTGCCCTCGCTCAAGCCCCACAGCGAGCTGGCTCAGCGCTCTCGCTAAAGGCGACCGCCTCTCGGTGGCCGACGAAGCCATCAAGCGGCAACGGCGTTGCATCCGTCGGCGCATCACCTGGCCCGCGCGCTCCAACTCATCAGGTCGAGCTAAATATTTTGTACATTCTACTAGAATGAAAACGAGGCTATTTACTGAGTAACCTCGTGTTAAAATTGCCGTGTCCCTTGATACAAGTTGTGGGAAGAATGTTGTTCTAGTCGTGTATAATAAGGGAAACACCAATGGCGACGGCGCTCGTTTCGACGGCGTCTATTTGTGCCCAGAGCCTTTCTATCCAGATATGAAACCAAGCGAAACGACAACCGAAAGGGCTCGCGAAACGCAGTTTGCTACTAGCCTCCATGTCCAGTGATGCGAAAAGCCAGCGCTCGCAGATGCGCGTGTATGCGGGATCGTCGACCGCAACGTCCTCGATCCATGTGCTGCCCAAGACGATGAATGATCCGCCTCCGTCGCTTCGTTTGCCTTTTCTCCTCGAGATCGGCGGAATGCTCTCTGTCGTCGTTGCAGTGGGACTCGGCGTCTACGCCCTCCTTGTCTTTGCCTCGTACCTCGAGACGGACTTCCTCGTTCCCAACTTTGGCACTGCGGTACCAGTCCTTGTCGCTGCACTTAACCACCGGCTCGCCGTCACGGGGATCGGCGCAGTTGACGTAGTCGCGCCCCAAGCTGCCTACGTGCCGTTGCTGCAAGGCGTGAGCCCGGCGTATCCGCGCCTCATCATGTACCAAGAGCTCACGCGCCTCTTGGATGGCGTGCGCGGTCTCCGCCGACTGGCCGCGACTCAAGTCGTCATGATGGTCTCGCCCTACTGCTGGGCCGATCTCAACAAAACGTACGAGCTCGCGTACACTGTGAAGCGCCAGGCGCGGTGCAAGCAGACGGAAGCCACCAACGGCGCCGTGCACCTCGAGACAGTGCTCCGCAACATCGATTTCAACGGCTTTCTGGAGGCGACGCAAGGGCTCTTTTTGTCTGCGATCGCCCACCCGATCGCGAGAAGCGGGGCACCCGGTGCCGCGTGGCTCTCGGCGCTGCAGACGCACGTGTGGACCGCAGAGTCGGATGAAGTGGCGCTCTGGACGTCGTTCGGGCTCAACCGCTACACGCTGCAGTACGGCACCGGCATCCGCATTGGCGTGTTGGAGACAGTTCAAGTCGAGACGGCGCTCGGCCAAAGCTTGCTCTTGCCGCTCAAGACGATGCCAACGACCAATCGCTGGACGTTCCGGACGACCAAAGTGCTCTACAACCTTCTCTACAACGACTTGTACGCGATTGGACTCAACCAAAGTCTCGTGCGAGGCACGACCAACTACTTTGGCGACATTGACGTCAGCCAGATCGAGGCGTATGCACAGGGCCTCCCACTGCGACCGGCACAGCAAGCCATCCACGACATGATCGGCTCACTCGGCAGCATCGACGCCAAGTGGATGCCGCCGCCCCATAGCTTGGTCGCTGCCGTCGCAACCTTTCAAGCCGCCATCAACGCACATTTGGTCGCTGTATCGTCGCTGCCAGCGATCGATATGGCCCGTGAGAGTCTCTACCCGACGCCACGCCGCTGGGCAAATCCGCAACTACGTTTTGTCTCGGGCAACCCAATGTGCACGACGGGGACACCCCAGAGCTTTGTGCAGCAAACCTTTGGGTTCGATGACATTTGCAGCAGCCAGACGCCGTTGACGCTCGAGTGGCACGGCTTCAACGCCGCCTTTGCACTCTGGCTGCTTGGCGGCTCGGTCTCGGCGACCGACGTCTGCGCGCCATTCCCCGGTGCTCCGCAGGCGTGCGAGCGGCTTCTTGCCGACGCCACGACGCTCTACGCAGCAATGTCGCCTCCGCCTCTCGATCCTTCGCTGCTATCGGAGTTGGCGGCGCTGCAGATAGGACTCCTCCAAATCTTGAGCACCAACCAAGCTGCCATCACGATCGACCAGCAGCTTCTGTTGGCGCCCGATTTTGTGTTTCTCGGCGCTATGTACCTCTACGACTGGGCGACTAACTTTCGCGAAGTCGTCTCGTTCCAAGGCGACGAGGGCACCCACACACTCGTCTCGACCTTGTACGACGCCGTGGCCGCCGACCCGATGGCGCCGCCCGCAGCGTTTGGACCGTACCTCTGGTATCTAGCGACAGTCACATCGAGCACATTGGCCGCCCTCGCGGTGCTGCTCTTCGGCCTGCGCTGTTGCAGCAGCAGCGCGGGCTACGATTGGCTGCGCTTCACGCCTTTGGTGGCGTCCGTGTGGGTGAGTCGCAACCTCTTGGTATTTCGAAGCGTCGCGGCCATACTGTGCTTGGCCACGGCGCCACTTGACGCTTCGACCCATGGCTTGACACGCCTCGTGCTAGCGCCACGTTCGATCTGGATATCGAGCTTGCTTGCGCTGGAAACTCTCTGGCTCGCACATGTGGCCCACGATGTGCTGATGCCACTGAGCGACGCCTGGCTCGAGCTCCCGATTGCGTTCATGGGGTGGTTCGTGCTCGTTTTGATCGACCAAGTGGCGCCCATTACGCCCTCCGCGTCCCTCGACCGACAGTGCTACGCCATCAATATGGATCAAACGACGTACTGCGCTAGTGGAACCGTTCGCGCTGGCAGCTTTCATCGAAGCGTCGTCGTGACTGCGGTCGTCGGGGCCGTCATTGTCGCGTCCTTTGCGTGGTCAATCTGGCGACAACGGAGCTCGACGCAGGGACCGATGCTCCGCCCCAGCGCCATGCTGCCCCAAATGGCCCCTCTCCACGTCACAGCGACGGGCCACCAAGTGAGCATGGTCACCGCCGTCATGTGTGGTCTCGTGCCTCTAGCGTGGCGAGACCACACCTACGTATTTGATCTCAAGCTCTGGCTGGCTTTGCCGTCGGACGGCACTGCGCTGGCGTCGGCGGCTCATGCCCGCGTAACCGTGCTGCCGTTCAGCGCCCCGTCGACGGCCTCGCGCGCAGCGACGACCGCACCTTCTGTGCTCCGCCGCAAGTCTGTGCAGCGGCTTTTGCGCTTTGTCGGTCTCTCGTACATTGGCGTGACGCTCTGGAGCAACACTGCGTACCTCAGCGTCTTGGAGACAGCGCTAGGCAACGACTTTGGCTGGCCCGGCTTCAATTCCACCGGCATGCACGCTTTTCTCGCCAATACGTTCAACCGGCAGCTCCTCACGTCCACTGACGCCACCCTCGCACTGCACGACCCGATGTTTGGCGACCCGCTCCAGTCGTACAACTCGTCTGCTACGACTGTCACGTGGTACCCCACGATGGCGCGACGGTACCTCTTCAACGCCTCCGCGCCGCTGCAGGAGCTCGTGCTGGGACTCCGAGCCATGGACCCGTGTCAGCTGCCGTGGATGTTTACGCAGTACTGCTGGCTGGACCTGGATCGAACGTGGGAAATGGCCAGCACTCGCCAGCGGCAAGTACGATGTACGGCGAGCCAGCACAACGGCGCCCGGTACCTCGAGACGAGTCTGCGCAATGTACAGGACTGGACGACGTGGCGCTCGTGCTGGGGCACTTCGTTCGATGTCGGTATCGGCAACGACTTGGCGGCGACTGTGACGGGCCGTCGCTGGCTGCAGCTTGTTCAATCGAATCTGCTGTCTGTACCCGAGGAAGTCGACGTTTGGAAGGCGTATGGCATCTCGGTGTTTTTGCTGCAATGGCAAAACTACAAAGACACGGGGCTAAGTGACGCGATGGTCATCACTACGCCGTTCGGCCTTCCGTACACGCTGCCCATCAGTGAGCGCAAAGGCGTTCTGCACCTCGATCGCCAGACGTCCCATCGCATGTACTGGGGTCTCGCCAGCGACCTCTGGGCCGTCGCCAACAATGCAACCAGCATCGGCGGCTTGTCGCTCCTCCGCAGTAGTCCCAAGTTTGCCTTTACAAATGCGACACGCGCACAATTGCTCTTTGAAAACCGAACGCTCTATGCGCCTCTCAACCCGGGTTTGGCGCTGTATCATAGCTCATTGGGGCCGTTTGGCGCCGTCGACATGGTGTACGTGAGCTGCCCCCCGTCGCTGCTAGCTCTCTACGACTACGTTTTGCACGCGGTCGGAAGCGTAGCGAGCTTGAATGTGGAGGCGCAGACGGAGTTTCTCAGTCTGCCTGCCAAAACATACATTGGGCAGCTCCCAAGAACCCTCTTGAACGACCCAAGTCTGCGTCTTGTCGGGGGTAACCTTATGTGCGGCAACGACCTCCCGGGATCCCGCCCCTCGGGCGCACTCCTGACGCTCTTTAGCGCCGACACGGTGTGCGCGTGGCGATACCTCGACTTTCTAACTCCGACGACGACCGGGCTCGTTTTTGCGCTTGCGGCTTTCGACGCCGTCCACCGCCTCGAGCCAAGTCTCGACTTTGACCTGTTTTGCGCCAGTGACGTGTACGCCGAGCCCAACTGCGCGGCCATCTACGCCGCCTCCTATGCCTTTATGCTCAACCACTTGACGAACGCCCGAGACAGCTTTCGTCCACTCGCGACGGCAGCCGAGGCCGACCTGCAAGCCCTCTCGATCGAGATGACGCAGTACATCAACCGCAGCGGCAGCATGGAGCTGTACAGAATCAATCTTTTGGACCCCTCCGACCGACCTTGGACGTTCTTTGGATGGAACTACGTGACTGCGTGGGTCATTGGCCAGCGCGAAGTCGTCTCGTTCCAAGGCGACGGCGGCACGGTCACGGCCATCTCTCGCTACACGACTCCGGCATCACTCACGTTAACCGAAGCCGCAATCCCGACGCGCCTCTCGTACGTCTGTCAGCAATGTGTCCGGTACGTCACCGGTGCCATCATGGCGGGCGCGGGCGTCGCGGCCTATTATGCCATTTTCGTATGCCGTGGCCACATTGAGGGCATGAACCTATTTGCGATCAACCGGCTCATTGGCCACGCGTGGATCGGCCGAACACTTCTATTGGTGCGCGGCGTCACGGCGCTATGGCTGCTCAACACACCTTCGCTGGAGCTCAAGGCCATTGGCGCCGGCGCGCGCTTTTTAGCGCTGCCGCTCGGGTGGTTCCCGACGCTTCTTGCGTCGTCCGAGCTCACGTGGCTGGTGTACATCGCCAACGATCTCTTGAGCTGCGTCACGCGACAGTACACGCCGTCATACGCCTGGAAGAGCTCGGTCGCGGCCTGCGTGGTCGCAGCGGCCTGGACGTTTGCTGTCCCGAAACACTACATTGCTTACGTGCACCGACATTGTAGCTACGTCGACATGGATCTGGCGCTGGTGTGCACCAGCGGTCACGTTGATTTGGGCCATTGGAGTCGTGTCAGTATTGACGTCGGTCTCTGCCTCGCGTGTGTTCTTATTTTGGCGCTCGTGGAGCGGCTACGACGTCCGCAGCTTCCGTTGGCACCAGCGCCGTCGCTTCTTCTCAATACGACAAGCGTCTACTCGTCCAACCTCGCAAAATGGGTCGTCAACGGTCGCCAGTACATGGACCGCATGTCGGCTGCCATGGGTGGCCTCGTGACGTGGCGCTACCGCGACGTTTTATACGTCTTTGACATCAAGTGCTGGCGGACCTTTGTCGTCGAACCCGAGGCTCAGTGTCCGTTTGACGTTGGCGCCGTCCTGCCGCTCGATCGCATTTGCTAAGTCATCGGGAAGAACGTCTCTTACTGACAGGCCCAATGCATCATCCAAGCAATGACGCGGCCAGATCGTGACTCTATTCGACCGTCTGAGGCTCCTCCAGACTAAGTTACCAAATCGAAACTTTTGCAACCTTCTCAAATCGCTGTGATACTTTCAGGGACGCTTTCTCTAGCTCGAGAGAGG